AGTTACCAGGAGATGCCTTCCTGACCTTGACATCTCGGCGCCACACTTGATTTACAGCCCTGTGCAAGCACAAGGTCAGGGTCCTAGATACATGGGCAGAGCAGTTCCTGTGCACCTGTTCCCCGTTTCTTTATCTGTGCTTAGAGTCCATCTAGATTTGCATTCCTTCTAGGGGCAAACAGCGTGTTTTGTTAGTTCCTGCAGTTAAGAGAAGATGCGAATGGGGAAAGTACTTGGGTGGTATGTGTAAGGAGAGTCTTGATAGTGAATGTTTTTATGTCTGATACAGAACTATTTTGTACTTTTATTTACAGGATATATTCTCAAGTGATTTAGAAAAGTCCAGGAATCATTGCCACAGTGTTCAAAATGCTCAGGGTCTCAGTGCACGGAAGTGCAGAGGACTCTTTAAGAGGCAACCCTCTGCACTCTTGCACGTTTGCTTTCTTTCACGTTTGGACTTGCTTTGTTATTATAAATTGACATCGTTGTAATTAAAGTGATTAATGATGTGCCCTAGAGTTTATGGGTCCTAAGGTCATGAGGTCCAAAGATGGCCATGCTGTGGGAAATTTAGAGCTCACTTCGTAGAAGATGAACCAGACCCCTTATCCTTTCTGCATAACTATTTGTGAGCTAAATGTTAGATTGGGTTGAGGAAGCCTCCTGGTTATTAAAAGGAACGGAAACTAATGTTCATCCACGTAGTTCAGTTGCCTAATCCTTGTATTTAAACACTATCATTAAAGTTTATAGGCTGATTTGTTAAATGAATAATACATGACTTTGTAATGCAATATTAGAAAATGCACTAGTTGAAAACATGTAGCTCCAGTCATTGGGTTTCCAGAATTGCAGTTCTGCCTGATTCTTTTGGATCTAATCCATGATAGAGCTATTGCTAACTTTATGGTCATTTTTTAAATAGTCCTCGTCCTAACTAGGACATCACAGTTCTACTTTTTAATAGGTTTGCTACAACTGCAGACTCCTTTCAACTGTTAAGCTGGAAACTCTGAAACTGGTTATACCCACTAGGAAATATTTGTTTCAGATACTGCTTTTTAAAAACAAACAAACACAAAACTAAGGAATTTTGAAAAGCTCGTTCTGGCCAGAGGGACAGCTTTGTTCTTTGCATTCCATATTGTGGGGCTGGTACTGTGCCACCATGCATGCTTACTCTCCTCAGTGCTTCCCACTAGGGAGAGAGAACAATAAGCCAATTGTTGGGCCATGGCCCCTTGCCACTACCAGGACCTCAGTACACTGGCAACTCACCCTGCACAGGAGTGACTCTCGATCTCTGCTGTCTGAAGGGAGAGGCAGTATTTTGTGACCTTTTTTAAAGTTCTTATACCTTAGTTTTAAAATACTCATTTGTTTAAATGTTTTAAAGTCACTCTTTTTTTCAGGTGATCCGTGACATTGGTAAAAGAGAAAATGCTTACTATTTGTCCAACTTAAAGATAATTATAATAAATTTAATTTGAACAAATGGCTTTTCCATATTTGTATGTTTATCTTTCTCCCTGGAGAGTACTGAAAAATATTCATATGTATATTTGATGTGGGAAATAGAATTTTCTTCTTTAAACATGGTCAGATTTTGCTTTAGACAAGGCATCCTGAGTGTCTTATTAAACTCCAAGTTCAAGAGAGTACCAGAGACACAGGAAAGATAATTAAGCAAAGGTTTTTAGATTGTGCCTTGTAAAGTTTTACAATTGTGAACTGTAATATTTCTTTCCCTTAATTTTATCTCCTACTCCTGGGAGACTTGAGTAAACATTTCAGACATTGCAAAGATCTGTTCATTCTTTAAATATTTATTTTCAATGATGTTTCCCAAGCCCCACCCTCAACTCTGCTCTTGAGAACTATTCCTGAATAACTGTCTTTTAAGTATGTACAGACAACAATCCATAGTATTTTCCCTGTTATTTAAAGGCTTGTGACTGAGACACTGTATACCTTGGAACTTCATGTTTTCCATATAGCTTCCATAGTAGAATGCTTTGTTTAGATATTTACAAGCTAATTTACTATGAAATAAGTTTTCCTTATTATAAAACATACATATTCATTATGAATTAGGGATGAGGTTCACAAAAGAGAAGAAATGCATAGCATTTAAAGAGAACCTTTCCTAAAATGTTAGTAACAATGTTGGTGTTTTTAGGTGGATCAATATTATTGTAGGAAGAATTTTATCATACAGTGCCAAAATGAAAAATTGTTTTGAGAAGGATTTTAAAGTTTAAATAGGGAACTTTATTGACCCAACTTACAAATTTAATTCAAAAGGCAAAGTAAAACATTTTAACAGAATATTTCATACTTTACTGAAATTGTGAACTTCAATAAATATTCAGAGTTGTCATATGATACTCATGGCATATAAGAAACGTTTTCTTTCAAAACTTAATAATTCTATGGTTCATATGGTGGTTAGTGTTTAAAACATGGGGGATGATTTTTATTACACTTTGTGGTATATCAGCTGTTTCATTTGACATTTAATTGTAAGCCAATCTATTATTTCACGTACTGGGATATTTGTATAATGACCCACCCTGGGATTTGGAGGGCATGTTGCCATTCTCCCTGAAATGCTTATCTTGTTTCTTGTGAAACTTGTCAGAAGGCAAATGGGGTGTGTTCAGATTTAACTTTTTTTTCCCCTGTAAATTCAGTTGTTTTTCAAATACTGTGTTTGTAGAACTTTCTGTTAATAAGGTTTGATAATATTCATTCTGAACATAATAAGTTGTTGAAACAACAAAATCAGTAAAAATACAGTTCTGGGCCTTTGTTGTTGCTAACACTACTTAAATGAGAGGGAACACTAGAAAAATTGAAGGGATTTATTTTCTTACATCTAGGATGACTGTACTTATCTTGAGTGCAGGAACCTTGTGACTGTTGGCAGATTTTTGCTCGCTTACTTTGTTGCTGAGGATTCGATCCAGGGCCTTGAAGCTGAACTACATGCATCTTTATTTACACATTACATTGCTAGACATGCTCCATATATCTTCAGACATCTGGATGAAAGGGGATATGGCTTCTCAATCTTGGCAACCTTCAGTAGTGTCTTGGGAGGTTTTAATGAGTAGATCCTTTGCAATTAAATCGGATTGTGAAATTCCAATAAAAGGAAGATTCCACTGCTCCTCTCTTGAACTTGCCCTTTGTTGTAATAATCCTGCAAGCTAAAGAGGATTCATTTGAGAGAACAGATGGAAAGTTAGGCAGCAGTACAGGGTATAACCTGTACTATAGCAGCTGAGTCTTAGTACCCATTGTGGCCTTTCATTACGCCAGCTGCCTATTTTGTTGGTGCCTGTTATAGCTAAATTAATTCTTATTGGGAAATTCTGCTGCTGCTAAAATGTTGATCGAAGTTTATTACTAGGATATGTTTATTGAGAGGCCTAATATTCTAGGTTATTTGTAATCTTTTGTCTTTTTAAATAAACCAATCTCTTGTTTTTATATAATAAAATTATTATCAATTAATATTTGCCTACTATTTTTACATCCTTGGAATTCTACTTTGGTGCTTTATCCTTGAGGTGGTTATAGCATGAGAGGAATTAGATTGCTTCTGGTTTATTAAAAAATAACAGGCAGTAGGGAGATGGAGGGTAGGGGGTCAGTTTGATCAAAATGCATGCATGTATAAAATTCTCAAACAGTTCTTAAAAAAGGAAAAAAAATAACATTTTAAAATCAAGAAATACCCTATAAAGTGTCAATAGCTTCCTCAATCCTAATCCTAAGCAATTTACTTGAACTTTGAAGCACCTGTTTAGAAAGGTAAAGATAATGATAGTTTTATAAGAAATACTTGCTCCAAACCAATTATTGTTATTGTTTAGCCCATCATACCAAAAAAAAGACACATGGTGCAAAATATGAACAGGTTAAAAATAGCAATCCACTTGAAATATAAAAGCTGTCCCATGTCTGGAGTTTTGTTAGACCTTATTTAATATTTTCCTTGCACATTCATTGTTGGTAACATCTTAACCTGCCAGGTGCTACACTAACATATGGATAAAAACAGGACATAGTTACTGCTTCCCCTGAAAGCAACCTGTATACATTTAGTCTTTATAGTAATAGTTACACTTCTCATTGTTGTGACACATTATCCGGCAAAACAACTTCAGGAAGGAAGGGTTTATTTTAGCTGACAGTTTGAGGGCGTGGCCCATCACAGTGGGAAGGTATGGTGGCAGGAGCCTGAGGCAGCTGGTCACATTGCATCTAACTACAAATAACAGGTGACAGTTTTTGCTGTACTTGGCATGATGCTTCCCACGATTAAGGTGTCTCTTCCCATCCTTAGCTATCCTAAACTAGACAATCTCTCACAGACGTGCTCACAGGCATGTCTTCTGGGGGTTATAGATTCTGTCAAGTTGAAAGTTGATGTTAAGCGCCACATATAGCAAGCACATCAACTTGTTTAAGTGTTTGAGAACATAAATATAAAGAAAATTACTTAATAAGGGACATAGTTCACCCTGAATATAATTGCTAACCTTCAGAAAGAGACCCAGCAGCTGTAGATATGCTCGTTAGGAAAAAAGGGTAGAGATGAAGTTTCAGACTGGGTTATTAAAGAACTGCCCAAGGATGAGGAAGTCATGATAGTTTACCTTTTAATGTGCTGATTGCCTTAACCTAAGAATTAAAAGTATGGGTATGTTAGCAAGCAGGGTTGGCTGCTTTGTCTCCTCATTTGAGCTTGTAGGGCTAGAGAAACTGAAGAATGATAGGACATGAGAATTTTGGGTCTTGTGGCATTTGACTTCTAACCACAAGAATTAATGAAAATTGTGAATGGTGAAAACTATGAATTATAAAGGTATTAATTCTGATTATTTAACATCTTAAAGTATATAAATAGTAAAAGTCTGTTGATGACATTACTAATTTGTCAGAGGTTCATGGTTTTTTTTTTTTTTTTTTCTTCTTTTTCTCCTCAGAGCATCCGCTGCAGCCAAGCCTGAGCCCGTTGCTGTCCAGAAGGTGCGTTTATAGTCTCGGCACAGTTTTACTCATTCTTTTCTTTAAAAGACTAAAAGGAAAATAGAATATAGAACTTATAAAGTTATTGTATTTATCAGGGTTCTCTAGAGGAACAGAACTTAGAACAGATTTATATACATATACACATATATAGTGGATTTATAAGAATGGTTTACAGAGTGTGGTCCTAGTCTAGCTTGTCTAACAATGGCTGTCTACCAATAACACGTCCAAGTATCCAGTAGTTGCTCAAGTCATGAGGCTAGATTTCTCAGCTGGTCTTTAGTATATGCTAGGATCTGGAAGAAATGGACTCTTAACGCTAGTGACTGGACTTTCTAGCCAGGCAAAGAGAGAGATCTTGCTTTTTCAGTGTCCTCCATACCAGCAGACAGCATGGCCCAGATTAAGGTGAATCTTCCCACCTCAAATACTCTGGGTTAAAAGTGGTGGGCTCTGTTTTAGTTAATCCCAGACATAGTCAAGTTGACAACCAAAAATAGCCATCACAATTACCATGTGTAATAAAATTGTAAAGCATTATTTCTAGGCCCCTGCAGTGTCAATAATGCATGTCAAAATTCCTTTCATATTTACTTTGAATTTTTCTGTATTCTCTAAAATCATTAATATGTATCGACCCAAAACGAAGGTCATGCCACTCCAGAGTGTTCTTGGATTAGGTTGTTGGCAAATGCCCCACTTTTTATTACACGTCTCACATTATTGCCAACCAGTGTTTTTAATCACCTGATTATTCTCTTTGAAGTCTTTCTCCCCTTCTATTGGCAGTGTATTCATCTGTTCATTTAATCCATTTGTTTCAGCCCTAACTTATTTTTTTTTTCAGTTAATGAAAATTTAAGATTTATATTGCTCTCTTCCCTCTTGTATTTAAGCATTTGAGTTACCATTATGTATTTTCTTAAAGATCTGACTTTCTTCTGGGAAGGTAGAGAGAAAGATTTTTCTTTTTGTTTCTTTTTCTTCCTTCAGTGTTGCAGAAATACTATCTCATTTTAAAGGAGAAAGCTTTGAGTACGTGTCCAGATAAAGGTTTACCAACACTGGTGATTTTAGGAGGAATGGGTCTTTCTGACTTGTCTTTGGCAATGAGGAAAAAGCATAACATAACATAACATGTTTTTCTTCATGAGACTTCAATATTTTATTTGGAAAAAGGGAAATAGTTTTATTTTATCTCAGAATAATCACACACTCAGGAAGGGAAACAGAAGTGAATCTTAGGAGAAATGCAGGATAAATGTGGTTTGTTCATCTGTTTTGCATTTTTCTTCCCCCAAGTTTTTTATCCTAAATAGTTGTGTAACACATACTTTGAGTTAGGTGAATCCCTCATTCTTTTTTGTTATTGAAGAGTTTAAAACTTGGTGATTTTCATGACTCAAGTAATTACACTGTGGAGAGAAAGAACAGAATGTTAGAAAGATGGAATGGAATTATAATTGAGGCTCTGGGTATTTTAGAAATAAGATGTCTCAGTTAGTAAACTTATGTTTATGTGTAATGAAATTACTCCTTTAAAATGTATCTAAGTTGACATTTAATGGTCATCTTTAGGATTTTTCCCCCTGGTTTTCCTGCTCTGTTTCCTGAATATTTTGAAACTTGCATTTTAACAAATGGAAATGTGTTTACTGCATGCATGATTGACATGCCTGCTAAGCTCAGTTAGCACGCATGCTGTGCTATATGAGCTCGTTATTTGTCCTGAAAACGTATTTGAGCTGCTAACATAATTGTGTTTGTCTTTTTAAAATCAACTATGTGTTTGTTTGCACTCAGTGTATTTTGCATGTATTTGCTGTGTTTTTGTATATATTTATTTTTATTTTGCATAGGGTGAACCTAAAGAAGTAGTTAAACCTGTGCCCATTACATCTCCTGCTGTATCCAAAGTCTCTTCCACAACCAACATGGCCTACAATAAAGCACCACGGCCCTTTGGTTCTGTGTCTTCACCAAAAGTCACATCCATCCCATCACCATCGTCTGCCTTCACCCCAGCCCATGCCACCACTTCATCACATGCTTCCCCTTCACCTGTGGCTGCTGTCACTCCTCCCTCATTCTCTGCATCCGGACTGCATGTTAATAGCAATCTTAGCACTGACCAGTGTTCATCTGCACCAAACACTGGTAAATCTGCAGTTAATGTCCCACGGCAGCCCACAGTCACCAGCGTGTGTTCCGAGCCTGCTCAGGAGCTAGCAGAGGGGCAGAGAAGAGGATCCCAGGGTGACATTAAACAGCAAAATGGGTAGGTGGCCAAGGGTGGTTTCTGCTCTTTCAGATAATTTCCAGGAAACAATCTCCTTTTTCTTCAGCTGTTCTTTGAAGGAGGATGAAGTTATACTTGCTGCACTAACAGTGACCTTTATTTATTTACAAAAGTACTCATACAAAACAGTTAGAAACTAACCAAAACTTATTTATGCATTTTGATGTGTTCTGAGCCTGTAACATTACTCTGTAACGTTTCCCTCCAAGTTCCTGCACAGGGTTGAGCAGCTGGCACTTATAATGCAAGGCAAATCCTCAAAAATTTCCACCCTTTCAAAGGTGTAAGAAGTGTGATTGTAATTGTTCTCAGCATGTGTACACCTCTTTGAAGAGAGAGGGCATGAGTTTGCAATGATCTTTCCCCTCCAGGAAGTAGTCTGGAAAGCTGAAAACAAGTCAACTTCCAACTCACATCTCTGTATAAATTGTTAGCACCAAGCAACTCCCTAACATTCTTTTTAGGTATATTTTATCAGGAATTTATTCTTTAAATGCAATCAGTAATTTTAAAAAGTGAGAGATGTTCAGCACCAAAAACAATATATAGATTTTTAAAAAGATGAACATCTTTAAACTATGGAGGATGTTAAATAATACTAACATTTTTTTGAAAATTCAGTTGTGATTTTTATTTTGGGGTTTGGAAATTACATTTTTAAACATGTGTTAAACATACTAAATTATTTGAAGCCACACGTTTTATGGTTGCACATATGCTTTTGAAGCCTTTCATTTCTAGGTAGCTAATCTGGGTCTTTTGGAATTCAGTGTAGTCATTTGAAGGCAAAGTAATCTACATACAACTTTGGTTGGATTCATTGTGATAAAACTTACTTTGTAAGGGAAATACTATGCACACGTGATGAGCTTTGCTGATGCGATTCCCCGGGAAATTTATAATTAAAATAATTGTGTAGATAGGCCCATTCTGAACGACCTAACTCCTCTGGAATGTTAACTCACTTAATGAAGAGGATGTGCTTTCTGTAACATTGTTGCCATGGCAGCTCCTGGGCTTTGAAAGAGGAGGTGGCACAGCTCCAGGCTGCTGCTGAGGGAGCAAGGAGAGCTTCTGGGCTGTGCATCTGTGGCTCTGTGGTTGTGGGTAGCTCTTTAAAAGTATTAATGTAGACACTGGAGTCAGTTAGTGCCCTCCACAGAATGTTCTGTCTCCTCTTATCGAAGGCAAAGCATATATGTGTGTGTTTGGTTTTATTTATATACATACATACATACATACATACATATATTTTTTTGTATGTCTGTTTTAGGTAACCACAAGAAAATGATATTGCCTTTGAAATGCTGAAGCAGAAGTTTACTATGTTTATTAAATTCTAGTTTGAGTAGATAGAAAACTCACTGGAGATAGTCAGTGTCTTCCAAAACCTTTTAACACTCCTGGAAATTTTATAATAAAGTCTCCTTGAGGTCAAAGGAAAATGGAGTTATGGGGAAGGCTGGAATTTACAAAAAGTTTCAGGTTGTGCGTGGTAAACATTCCTGTAGTAATTGTGATGATACGAAATAGAGCTTATTTCAGGCCAAATGACGGTGCCATAGGTTCAAGGCCTTAGTGGCAGCTTCCTAATGAGTTGGCAAGTGTTCACCAAGCACATGGCCGGTGTTCAGCGCAGTGTGAAACTGAGGATAAAAGGGATTATTACATGTTTTGCATCATTAACAAGCAAGCTACTGCTTTGCAGTTGTGAACTGCAAGTGTTTAAAAATAGCTTGATTTCAAATGCTGTCCAGATGTTAGGACAGTGAGAATACAGTTTGGTGCCTGCCTGACTCTAGGGCAGATCTTTAGTGCTCTTTCTGTTATTGCTTTTAGACTAGAAAAGTAAAAACTCCCGTACTTGACCAGTCAGCCCTGCATCTTTCTTGGAGTTAGTGTTTCCTCACATTGATGTTCACCTCTCCACATCAGGTGTCAGACATTCGACTGGTCATCGTCTCAGATTTTTGTGACTTCAGTAAAACAAAACTCTCGTAAAGTTGAGAGTGATTGCTCTTTATTAATTACTTTTAAAATAGCACCCACCAATGACCAAACGATTAAAAGTTCAAAGGGATACAAAAGTAAATGGCCGAGTTGTGTTTTCCTCAAAGCATCAAGACTGTTAGTTTTTAAGCGATTTGAAATGGTTGGCTAATTTGCCAGTTTTATAGGTATCCCACTGAAATTTGTGTTAAATCAATAAACAGGAAACCCAGACAAGTGCTTATTGGGTGTCAATAATAAGATGTGGCTAGAATTTCCTGTATAGTAAGAAGTCTGAGTAGTGTATTGGTGGTTTTGAGAATAACTGTTAAAACTATGTAAGCATTCTTTTTCTTATAACTAATGATGATTAAGGCTCTTTAAAGAAACTTCAGACTTTCTTCTGCATATAAAGTATTGTTCTTGGCATGCTGTTCTCTCTGCTACCGCCTTACTCCATGAAGAACAGAACATGGTTTTGTATTCCTCACTGGAAACAAGCTGTTTTACATGAAACATTAACTGATTTGCATTTAACTGTACACATGCCCTGCATTATAACATGCCATTGCTCTTAGAGGTAAGTCTTTTGTGTGTCCTATATTTCAGTTTTCTTTGGCTGCAACTACTAACAGTTTGTTATGTTGTGTTTTGAAGAATCTGGCCTTGAAAGATTTGAAAGTTAATGATATAATCAAATAATGGTTTAAAATGCTTTTCTCTTTACAGAAAACACACGTGACAAAGTTAGTATCTGCATTACTGGAGAGGAAATATGGTGATTTATATATGAGTAAACAGCATGACTCCTCAGCTTTTTGCAAAATTAAATTAAATTTTGCAAAAGAATTGTACTTTAGAAAAAAAAAAAAACCAGTATTTTCGATAAGTTTGGTTTGCATTGTATGCTATAGTGAATTGCTTTATAGTAGTTAGTATTTAAGTTATATCATAAAAGATGTGTGGAGTTTGCTGTGCAGTGGCTGAAAGAGGAAATGCTTGGGGGACTTAATTCTAATCAGTTAGGAGTGTTACAAGACAAAGATGAGAAACTATAAAAGTTTGTATCATCAGTAAATAATATGTACAAAACTCAAGTATTTTCAAATTGAATTCAAAAGCCAGTATTTCCTAGATAAAATTCTCTAAGGCCTTTATGATTTTTCTGCAAAATTAAATCAGATAATGTTAGTGACACGTTTAGGTATCTTTGTGTAGTGTGTTTGTTTGTATGTGGGTAGTGAAAAGTCCATATATTTTAAAATTACTCTAAAGAAATAGTTACCAATTTGTTAAATGTCTCAGTAGAATAGGCATTGAAAAGCACTGGTATTTTTGTTTTGTTTATTTGTACCAATATTAGACTGACTAGCAATGATGATCTTAAAAACAAGATTAAATACTCATTCGAGCAATAACTTAGCATTTTTGTATTAATTGAGCTGTGGTTATTCTGAGCATTTGCAGAAGTTTCTTATGGCAGTATACCACAGTGAAGTCTCTTTGGAAATAGGGAATGTCAGTTTTGAATATATTCAAGAAAGTTAACTATTGAATTGTTAGAACACTTTCCTAATTTTCTGTAATCTATTGATTGACTCAAGCACATAAGTAAAACACTCAGACACTGTGAGTTAAAATTACCTTATTATATATAAAAACTGGCTAGCTAGTATATTCTAGTGTAGCACATAATTTGCTTGAAAAAAGGAAAACATGCCACTTGAAATAAAAAAAATAAATAAAACATTTATGTTAAATAGATAGCTTGGAAGCTCAAAATTCAGATTTGTTAACGTGTTGGGTATTACTCTGTATTTTACTGTGTCTGTGTCTCTAAATATGACAACAGCCTAATTCTCCTTTAGCTGAGTGACCAGGAATTTGCTCTCTTGTCATGCTTCTTATACAGGGGCTATGATTTGATCCCAAGCCAAATTTGGATGTGCCTTTCATTTTGCCACCTGTTGTCACTTGGATGTCTTTCTATCATTTTGATTTGGCGTTTACTTGTAGAGACTACAGACTCAAGTTGTGACTCTACAAATGAATTAATGTGCAGAGGCTGCACTTTGAGAGCACTGCTCTTGAGTAGTCATGGAGTATTTGCCCCTACAAACTAGTATTTGAAAGTCTAATGGGTAGAAATATGCAACCCATTTTACCACTGAAGCAAACAAGTCTCTTGCAGCTGTAATTAGCCCATGACGTGGGAAATCTTAGTTAGTATAGGTTTATCACATTGACATTGCTACATTCAAAGCTTATCTATTTGAACATTATTTTCTAAAATATGTGACAATATTTGTTGATTTCTTTAGGTTGAAATCAGCTATCTGTTTATATGTCCTTCAGCACAGAACATTGCCTCCACGATTTCATGTTAACACAAAACACTTTCCTTTAACTTTAAACTATTGGAGTGTACATCTACAATTGTATATAAGAGATTATGTTGCAAAGTGATATTCCTGCAAGATGGAGTAAAAAATGCTTTACCCCAGTGTTTCTCAACCTAGTGGACAAATGACCCTTTCACAGGTCATAGAACTCTTTCCTAAGACCACCAGAAAACATAGATATTTACTATTAATAACAGTAGCAAAATTGTAGTTATAAAATAGCACCAAAAATAATTTTATGGTTAGGATGGGTCACCACAGCACAAGGCACACTGCATTAAAAGGTTACATCATCAGGAAGGCTGAGAAGCACTGCCTCTACTGTGAAATACCTCATTGCTGTGCCCAGCCTCACTCAGTAGAGCTGCCCCTCTGTTTATGCTGACATCAACATGTAGAAATACCACAACTCTACTAATTTTTAACGTTAAAGCCAGTAGGCAGTTTTTTCTCACTTAGTTTATATTGAATTTCTACTCTTAAGTTTAATTACAGAGTTGAAGAGCCAACAACATGTTCTTTGACAAAGCAATATAGAATTTATATAGAATTTATACTTGGTTCTCTGTCCATGGTGGAACACAGAAGCATTTGTTTTTAATAATTCTGCCCCATGGTAGGCTATGTGAACGAATTGTGTCCTGAAGTTCCCCTTCGACTCATTATTCAATGAGTTCCTTCACCATATCAAATCAGATAGTCCTTTCTGAGCAATAAGTGTATCTCCAGCAAACAGAACTAGGTAGTTCCCACACAGTACTAAGGCTTCTGGGGTTTATGAATGAGGGTGGTGGTCATGAGTAGAAGGGAGGGGTGTGAACATTGCTAGAGAGCTCACTATTCCTACTCTGTTGTGATTTCTACACTTGTCTCAACCACTACATTTTTAAGAAGAAAATTCAGAGATTATGCTTGCTATTAATGTACTCATATAATGTGAGACTGAACAATTGGTTTTCTGATTTTAAAATGCACTCTAAACTGATTTCTAAGTGATGTGTCAAATTATACTTTATTATATGCTTTTGTAGGAAAATAAGAATTTAATTTGTACTAAAACTAATTTTTAAAAACCTAGGCATTTAAAAAAAAAATACATGGTTCTTTCTTGGTTTTCAGGAATTTAGGATTTGAACTGGCATTAAGAGATAAAGTTGTTTTGTGGGATAAACCCAGCTGTTAAACTATCATCCTTATAGTAGCAATGTCACAGGGTTTTGACTAACAATTGCGCTTACATGTCTGTACATCTGTGATTATTTGAAGCATGGTGTCCGTGTGCCATCTCTTCATTTTTTTTTTTTTTTTTTTTTTTTTTTTTTTGGATTCTGTTGTTTCTTTCTTTATTTCTTCTTTTTAAAATTCTTTTTCTCCCCCTTTTTGTTTCCCCTCTCCACCATCCCTGCTTTCCATCATCCTGGGAACCTCCATGTCTTCTCTGTCACACCTTTCCTGTGTGTACTATTCCTCCTTCAGTAACCCCGGCACTGTGTAAGTACTTAACTAATGGTTTGTCTTTTAATTTCCATCCTTCTCTCTCTCACACTCAGTGTCCACCCCAGAAAATCTTCTTAGTATCATCTCATTACAAGAATTCCTAAATATATTAAGGAGCATTTTAAAAGGGACTTTTCACACTAGAAGCCTTCATATGAATCTTTGAGTATGTTTGGAATGCCCACATCTGCACAGCAGAAAAAATTAGTAAAGCTAATACAAGGGGAGGGGATAGTATTACAAGTAATATGCACTAGATTTATAGATATAATTTAGGTATTCCTCTTTTCAGTATTGTTTTAAAAAAATAAGTGTGAGTGAGCTTCCTAATTTTGAATGTCTGTATTTTGAAATAAATTACCCTTCAGAGTTATTTTCACTCTGTTTTCAAAGAGTCTAAACCCTTTTTTAAAATCATTGATATTCCTTTTTAACATAACCCTCATATTCAGATTTTCACAATGAGGAAGAACCATGTAAATATTTAGAAAATCCCTGTTATTTAACCTGAGACATGAAGTCTTGGTGGTAAATGCCATAAGGTCTAAGATGTACTGTATTTTCTGTAAACATGTCATGCTAACTAATCCATGGTATTATGTTGTTATTCTTAGCTTGAAGCCATTGCTTTCATGTTTTTGTAGATAGAACTTGTACAGAGGCTAACACAAATCATGTGTTCCATCCCCATGACTGCATAAGCTGAGCATGACTGCACACACCTGTAATTCTAGTTCTTGGGAGAGGGAAACAGGAGGATTGGAAGCTAAAGGCCAGTCTGAGCCACCTACCCAGTTTTGAGCGCACCCTGGGCTGCACAAGAACCTAATAAAAGAGCAAATATTTAATGAACAGTGCTTACTGACTAATTACAGAGACGTTTAAAATTTAGTAAGTTTGTTGGCTGCTACAAAATTTTCAAGAACTTACATAAAATTAAGAGCTTTGTTTTTATACCAAAGACGGTGTTTTTATAAATAAGTTCTCTTTTTCTTAGTTTCTGAAATTTTTGTCTGTTCTTAAAAGGATTAGGTGTTGCTCAGTATTCATAAATATCTGTTAGGTAGTTCACTCCCATAGCAAAACTATGTGTTTTGCTGTTTTTCTGGAAAAAATACTGATTCTCTCTTAGATGTGACTTACAGCTCAGACGTTGCAGCTAATTTTAAACTCTCCCTGAAATCGTTTGATGACTTCTGTGGATCATATATCATCTACCTTACTTATTCCTCAGAACCACCTTTAAAGCACAATTTCCATTTTCCAAATGGGGACCATGAGAGAGAGAGAGCAGTTTTCTTCTCTAAGGACAAGGTCCTTCAAACTGTCCATGTAACTCCAAAGCCAGTGTTAGTAACTTGGAAAAGCTCAGGTGGGCTTTTGATTGTGTGACTACTAGAATGCGGGCAGTCAATCCTGTAGCATTGTGTCTATGGTTAGTGACCCTAGCAAGTCTTACATCCACATCTGGCCACATTTAAAACATTTGCTCTACTCAGATCTTAGGACAGCATTGTGAGAGATAAGACTTGCGGTCCTGTTTATTTTTCTGGATATTTGGTCTTATTTCAGGAGAAGTAGGAAATATTTATTTTGTTCCATCGACCCTGAAATGATAATTAATGGATATTGTGATTTCCTTAATATTTATGCTGTAGTAATAAAAATATGAGTGTGCCTGGCAAACTCAGTATTTGAATATTGTCTTTGGCATGTATTATCAGCCTTAATTCTCAGAGTCCTACTTTATGTTTTCTTTGTTCATGAGAACAGTGTGGGTCAATGAGATGGGCTTGTCCACAATCACACTTGTGAAGACTGACGGAGCTGGGATCTCAGCCCTGGCCTCTTAAAGAGACCCCAGATCTGCACGGTGCTAGCCTGTATTATATTATGCGTGGTTTAGGGTTAACTATGCTGTAGACACAATTGAGAAAGTCGTAAATCATAACATTTAGGGTCCTTTCCAAAATTTCCAAAATTTTTAGAATTGCTTGTTTATCCATACAGAGAGATATGATCATTTAAGTTGTGAAAGTCAATCCATTGAAGGGTTCTAGAGTAAATATTCATATTTAACTGGCTAAATCATAGTTCATGTTGTTTTATATGGCATAGTAATTTCAAGTTGTTGGATTTTTTCTTTTCTTTTTTAACCGCTGTCGACTTTCCATTGTCTGTTATTCTTATTCTTGTTCTTTCCTTTTCTTCATGTTGGGAATCTTTCTTCTGCTGCCCCCTTCTGTCACTTAAAAGGAAAATTCCACCTAAACGGTAATCTTGCTGTTCAGTACAACCTTGTAGCATTGTTTACACTAACCGGTAAATTTATTCTACTACTATGTGTCTTTGGAAGGGTATTTTAATTGAGTGTATTTACACAAACTGTGTGTGTAAAAGGAGTATTGAGGCGTCAGTGTATAAATGACAAATAATTCACCAGAGACCATTTTTATCATCAATGCAATTTAAATTGTAATTATTATTCCCCTCCTCCCCTTTTCTAGCCCACCAAGAAAACACATTGTGGAGCGCAACACGGAGTTTTATCACATCCCCACTCACAGTGACGCCAGCAAGAAGAGGCTGATTGAGGACACTGAAGACTGGCGCCCGCGGACTGGAACAACTCAGTCTCGTTCCTTCCGAATCCTTGCCCAGATCACCGGGACTGAACATCGTGAGTAAACTAGCGATCTTAGGAGAGGAATGTTCTTGGCTCTGATAGTACCTTCTAGGCTTATCAGCAGTTACAGAAAAACAGTCCTGCCAAGGATTGCATGTGAATTATGTTGTATATAGCAAGATTTCAGTTCAGGGAGTTGCCTTGAGAAGAGGGGATGCACTGGCCTTGGTGTATGCCAGTGCAAACATGGTATGGATTTTGTCTTAATTGCTCTATGTGGTTTCAGCATTTGACATTGATCCATACAGATACTTATGTAAGTGATTTTGAAGTTAAACTTTAAAATTAATTTTGGATCTTATTTACATTGCAGTGAAAGAATCTGAAAATGACAATGCAAAGAAGGCAAAGTAAGTTCTCTTTTAATGAATCGAGTGCTCTCTTTTCATGAATGGTCTCAGTTTGTTGTTTTCAAGCTTCAAGTGTAATGTTAGAGTTCTGTTGTTTTTGCAAATAGAAACTAAGCATTTAACCCATGGTGCCTTTAGTGTGACCTAAACATGCAACCTACAGATTTCAAAATTAGATGATGTTGTCTAGATTGTATGTCTAAAGCATATTCTCTTTAATACTGACATAGTGAATGGGTACAGGGTACTTGGGGGATATTTTACTAACAGTACAACCCTCAATGAATGGGTTCCTGTGTGGTCTTGAACTCCCTTTATTTGGTGCATAAAAGAATGTTTCCAAGAGGACTTTGTAGACTAATTTCTGCATTTCCAAAAACCTCTCTACTTTTAAACACTGCTATTTTTAACACAACAGCTGTCCGGAATTAAGCTTTTACAAGGCATGTTTTCTGCATGTTGAAATTAGTATAGAATCTTTTTCTTTCACCTTCTTATGACTCCTCTATCACTCTTTTTTATTTCCACAGGGAAAAGATACCCCTTCACGTCTTTAGTCCCAAATATACAAAATTGCGTGACTGGCACCATGAAGTTTCAGCACGTGCTCTTAACGTACAGTGACCATGAGCCTTGCTTCCCCCACCCAAGCAGCCAGCACGTAGCTCTCACTCACCTTCTCTTCCCTCAGTCTCATAGCAGTATCTGTTTTACATCTGTCTCATGGGAACTAGGACGTTTCTGTACTTCCCTAACAATTTCCAGTTACGCAAACAAAAAGATAGAACACGTTTTTGTCCCAATTAGTCGCTCACAAATGCAAAAGCAAAGAAAGAAGAGGAAGTGACTAGATCTCCTCAGTGTATTTCCACTGTTCCGGTCCTTGGGTGTGGAACAGGAAGTCTTTATGCAAGGTTGATCTGGTTCATCGGTTGTCTAATTAGGAAGTGATTCCCTTGTGTTATTACATTTCCCAAGTTTACTTTCAAGTTCATCATTAAGGGATGTTCAAAGTTGATGGTAAATTCTCCTAAGAGAACAAATGTGAGGAGGCGGATTCAGCAGAGAAGACTGGTAGCGCTCATTCTGGACTTGGGTATCTTTAGAACCCTATGGCTTAGGTGTCTACAGAAAAGATCTTTTGCCCTTGCTTGCAGTGAGGAAACATAGTATTCTTTAATTTTAGTTAATTTTAAAGATCCTGTCATCTACTAAAAATGTCAACCGTAAGACATGTAGATGATAGCTTTGCTTCATCTTTGTGTTGGAGGAAAATAGCATAAAATAAGTTTCAATTTAAATGTTTCTGATATTGGGGAAATATTTTAGTATTATGAACTACTGTGTGCTGCTGCTGTTCTTACAAAGCTGTATTTTAGGCAATACAGGGAAATGCAATATCTGATTCTAAATGCTTTCTGACTTGTAATATATATATATTAGATTTAATCTCCTTAATTAATGCATTTTGAAGTTTGGAAAGAATTGTAATAAAGTTGTCTATACCTTACCTCTGTACTTGTTTCTTTGAGGCTAGTGACCTGCTGTCCAGAGCTTGTTAAACATTAATTCAATAAGATGAATTTTCATGTGGAGCATGCTTTCAATTCATGAAGTTACCAAATGCGAAAGTAACATATGGCAAAAACCCACCCTACCCTTTTGTCTTCCTGAGTTGTTAGTCATTTAAGGCAACATCTTATGCGAACAATATATAATCAGTCTTCCTATAACACCGCCAAGAGTCCTTCCTTGTATAACAGTGACTACTGGGGTTCTGGACTACATTCAAGGATCAGTTTTATTTTTTCCAGTGTTCTCTACTTCTGTTACCATGGACTAGAAGTATTGTGGACAAACGGAAGCAACTCGTATCGGTTTCACTTAGTGATTTGTTATTATACAGCAGTCGGCCTGCCAAATGTTGTATCACCTCCCTTCCCGCCATGGCATGAAGGATGTTGTCCCTTTATCGAAGCATTTCCTCAGATATGTGAAGGCTTGCCTACTGGTGTCTAGTAATACTGACCTTAGTCCCAGTTTTTATCGAGTCTCTGTCCTATAAAAGAAACTCTTTCTTATTACCAGGCTTTTCTATTTGTGCTAATTATTCATTTTTTGAGAAGACAGTATTGGAAAGAAGATTGAGTTAAAGTCACTTAAACATGATGTATCAGAATAAAGATAGTATATTCCCACCAAAATCCAATTTTCTTGAATAACTATAGAGTTTGAGGAACCATTAGAAAGAAGTTTAGATAAATACTATTCCTAACACAAAGAACATGTGTAGAACTTTTTTTTTCTTGAAATAGATGGTGTTAAAACAAAAGAGTTGAGTGCCTTGCCTAATGTCGATAGTGTTTATTTAATGATTCATCACAAGTGCAGATGACTGAAATGATCTGCCTAGGAGTGGGAGTCAGCGTCCAGCCAGCGTCAAGAAGATGTTCCATTCTGTCCTGCCAGAACCAGGACTCCTGAGTCCAGTCACTCTTCTGGGACAGTGTATGTTCCTAGCTCAGAAGTCTCGCCACATAGTATAAACGTTTATCAAAGTATTTTGCAAGGATAGTTAACCGATTTATGTCTTGTCTGTGTCTCTCTTATTCAGACTTCGTCAAGGCTCTTTCTAAATATGAAATTGGGAAATTACTCTCAAATGATTCTCAATATACTTCTCCCAGAGTGTTTTACCATTCAGAACATGGGTGTGTCTTACACAGTCCTATACTTTTTCTTACCTTCCACATACATTACCCTTTTGATCAGGGTCATACTCATTTCATTATCATGATGCCGTTTAAGAGAGCTCAGATATATATGGATATATCTGATACACACACACACACACACACACACACACACACACACACACGTACATACACATGTCAGCCTAGTGCTGACTCTTCACAGAGAATAAGAACTAGGCCGCGTGATGCTCCCAGGCAGCACTCAAAGGCAAAGCAGACAGGTGGAAAACAATGCCAAGTCTGTAGATCAGCGAGCGCAGCGCAGCTGACACGAACAGAGGAAACAGACACGAACAGAATTCTTAAGCATGTAAGCAAACAGTTTTTATGCCAGCTTTGACCACTTGAGTATGAAGAATCAGGGTGTTGGGGGTGGATGGGTTGCCAGCCTGTTTTATAACGTGCATACCTGTAGTCCAGCCCTGACTAGTGTCAATTTATTCTTTTCTTCTATTGAGATGCAGTGAAGATTTGGGGGGGGGGAGGTGAAGGTTTGAATGTCTAAAACTTGACCTGTAATACAGGACTCATAATTTAATTGGTTGGTTTAATGGTTCTGTCTTATGTGTAAAAAGCTGGCCTGATTTATCCCACCCATTTCAATATCATTCTGCAATGAAGTATTTCCTTGATGATTCCTTGCAAGATAGGCATCATAGCTCTTATTGCTATTAGAAACAGCAGACCAGTTCTGGGTTTTATGCTCAGATTTGGAGCTTACTGAGTTTTTCCTTCTGTGGAGGACCTGATAACTGCTTCTGGAAATGTGTGAGCCAGCAAGCCTTAGTCTGTCATTCACCTCAGTGCCCACATTCAGTGGCTGAGCCTGTTGCTTTGGGGAAGAGGAGATAAAAAGCCCAATCATTTCAGCATACCAGAGACAGCTTGTAATAGCCATTGCCTCTCCACGGCTACCACGGAAGGTCAGCCGAGGCTGCACACCTCCACACAATGGCAGTTCCCCTCGGGTGAGTCCTGCCGTCTGGCCCCTCCTTCACCGCTCTTGATTTAAGAGGCATTTCCTAGGAAGCACCTTCCATGCTGAACCCCGAAAGCTAGCCGCCAGACTTGGTTACACAGGCTCTACAGCGTGGTCCTTTTCCTGATCTTCTCATCTCCATCTCCCCCTTCCTTTTTCCTTGATCTTTGACACAGGCCCCAGCCACACGATTAAAGGAAGTCTTTGAAGTAAAAGATTAGTTAAGTTAAAAGATTAGTGGAAACTAAAAGGAATATTCAATTGCCTTGAATAAAAAGTGTTTCTTTGTTGATGACGTTACAGAGCACCTAGACTTAATGAATGGGTGTTGTAGTTAGAGCTGTGTCCATGATGTCAGTAATGAAGACAGAACTCTTAAAAGGAAAGTGGTCAAGCGCGTGTAATGCGAATCTAAAGTAGTCCGGCTTGAATGTTGTAAGTGTAAGCGCGCAGCATTTTAGAATCCCGTGTGTGTGTGTGTGTGTGTGTGTGTGTGTGTGTGTGTGTGTGTGTGTGTTTTGATGAGCCATTTAATACATTGATCTGGGTGCATCTGATCTCTGTACATTGCTAGCTCTACTTCCTGGTCTCTCCTAAAAGGGATGCTACTGTTCGTATCTGTTGGTAATGAGGTGGGTAGTGTGTGGATACACAAGGCTAGCAGGCACTGCTAGGGAGAAGGTTACCGAATGTCTTGTCCACCAGTCGAAGACTTGCCCAGCCCTCAGGGCCAATGGTGTGCTACTGGGAACGGCAGGCTTGAGTGCTGCTGTTCTCTATCATAATTTCTTATTCCGTCTCACAGCTTCACTTGCAGAGTCTCTACAGTTTAACTCCCCCCCCCCCCAACTAATTCATTTACTGTGCAGATCTTAACTCTCCTGATGCCTCTTTCTGGGTTTACTGATGGCCATTCGCCTGCATATCCTGATTTTGTCTCTGGAAGACAAGGGTCTTCATATAAAAATAAGGATGGGAAGGAAAGGCACTGTCATAGGTGTATAGTATTTCCTCCTGGGAGCATGCCGTAGTGAGTATATAAGTAAAGGCCTGTACAAGCCTATGCAGAGATTCACCTTGAGGATGGGTTAGGATGTACGATTCTTCTTGGTGTACCTCCTAACCAGAAATATGCTGTTTCAGGCAGCGCTGGTTAAGTAACTTAAGCAGATGGATTAATTTTCCACATAGTTCTGCAGCTAGAGTCCCTAGAACATCATACCAGCAGGCTTGGTTTCTGGTGAAGCCTGTCTTCCTGGCTTGCGTAT